ATATATACACACACGTAATGATGTCTTAGTTTTTAAGAAAAATATTTTCAGATGTTCGAACTTTTTTTGCATGTTTTAGGAGATAGCCAGTTGGCTATCTCATATGATGTTAAGACCAAGTCCAACCGATACTCAAACTCATACCCAAACGCATAAAATGTTCCAACCGATACCAAAATAGAGACGCAAAATGCGTTTGTGCTCCATTTCTCTCTCTTCTGGACGCATATTTGCGTTTCACTGTTCACAAACGCATTTATATTTGTAAATTGCAAAGTGACCCCTTAACAAAAGAGCATATAGCTTATATATTTTGATTTTGTATATAATTTCAATCTTAATAATTTATTAACATAAAATTAAATTAAGGAACATAAGAAATCCCATTACTAGTAAAATACTTTGTTTAAATTTTTAAACACACAGATAATACTACCAGTGATTAGTGATCATAAATTAAAAATATAATAATATCTAAGTATACATTATTTGAAAATTTTAATATATTACCACAATAAATAAAATACATCATAAACATGAAATGAATATATTTTTTATATTTAATAAATATCTATTTTTCAGTATTTTTATTGTATATGAAGTATCAATATACAATTAATTTGAATACATGTTTTAACAACTAAATATAAAATAATATGGAAGTCTAATTCGTAAATTTGTAAAATATGTGAGTAATTTTTAATTTTTCATCTTGTGAATTGTAATTTTTAATTATATTTGTGTAGTGAAATTTTAATTTTTAATGAATATTTATTTCTACGATTTTATTATGTATAATTAATTTTAATTACATAAAGTACAAATTGAATTTAAAATAATATTGTGGTTTAATTTGTAAAGTTATGAAATATATGGGTAGTATTGAAAAGTTATAAAAGTTGGTGTAAAAGATAATATTATGTGAATATTCTTTTGGGTTTGAGAATGAGTTTTTCGGTTGGAGATGAATTACTGCAAAATGGGATAGTTACTGCAAAATAGGTTTGAGTTTGAGTTTTTCGGTTGGAGATGGCCTAAGTTTATATTTGTGTAGTTTTGAAATAAAATTCAATATTCAAATTGATACAATTTTAAAAAACTGATTGTTGTAATGAAAAAAATCACATTTTCATTAAAAAAGGAGAAAAAAATATTATGCGAAGAAATTTGCAATAAAATAGTAAAGGGATATGCTATGGTCCTGTTAAGCAACCATTCTGTCAGGGTTTGTAACTGTTGGATCATCATGTAATCGTCGAAGTTAAGGAACCATTCTGTCAGGGTTTGTAACTGTTGGATAATCATGTAATCGTCGAAGATAAGTTGATCTAACGAAAACAAACTCTAACGGAATGGTTATCCGTAACATCTCCCAATAATAAAATACACAGTGTGACTGAAAATTAGGGCTGAGCATGGGACTCGGAGAATTTCGAACCGTTTTCAAAATCGAACCGAAATCACTCTGAACCGAAAAATAACCGTTGACCGTTTGACTTTCTCCGACCCGAACCGAACCGAAAAAATAATTGGTACGGTTCTGGAGATTTCACAAATATCCGTACTGAGAACCGAACTGAACCGTCCGTACTGTACCGAACCGAAAAACCGAAATTAAGGACCGAATTATAACATTAGATGTGTTATTAATATATTTTATGTCAACTTTAATTCTATATAATATAGTAATAAACATTAACCTTCACTTAAATTTCATGCTTAGTAATACTTGATCTACAATTGATTTTTTTCTATTATAAAACAATTAATTAAAATAATATGAAAGTTTAAAGAATATTTTTTTAAGAAAAAAAATAATATTTTATTAAAATTTTAAATTTTCAATATTAGTTGCACAATTTTAGTTATAACTAAAATTTAGAGTTACTTATAAAGTTGATTTCAAAATAAAATCTTTAATGTGAGGAAGTACTGATGAATGTTGGTTTTACTAAAGCATATAAAAATTGAATAACTAAAATTTAGAGTTACTACTAGAATTGATTTCAAAATAAAATCTTTAATATGATGAATTATGAATGTAATTCTTTTAAAGCATATAAAAATTAAAATATAATTAGGTAGTCATTAAAAAATAATTTTAAAAAAAAATCTCTGAAGATCCGAACCAAATCATACCGAACCGAACCGCCTCAATAGTCCCGAATACCGAACCGATCTGAACCGAAAAATAAAAATCTCCGAACCGAACCGAACTGACTTTTTGGTACGATTCCGGAGATCGAATTTTTGGATCTCCAAAGTGTGGTACGGTTCTAGAGATTTATCAATCTCCGAACCGTACCGACCCACGCTCTCATCCCTACTGAAAATGACCACATGCTTGTTACACTCATCAAGTTATCAACCACCCATCCCACATACACTCGCAAATCACAGCTCCTCAAAACCTGTCCACATTCATCCCCCCCCTCGCATCTTCCCTTCTTCCCGTCAAACCCACGCTTCTCTCCCTCTTTCATCACAACAAAACTATAAAACAAACTCCACACTATTTTTTTCCACCCATTTTTTTTTTCCAATTTATCACCATTTTTTGTTCACAAATGGAATTTCAAGCTCTCTTCGCGTCCGCCATTGTTGTCACCTTCACCCTCAGCCCTTCTTCCTCCTCTTGTCGCTGCTCATCCTGTCATTGTCGTTATTATTGATTTCTGGTTTTCGAACTTCCTTAATTTTGATCGCTGAACAGAAGGGCAAAATCCACCACCGCCGTCGCCGTGCTTTTTCAAATTGCATTTTTTTTTTTCTGCTGAAGGTTGTGTGAGTATGGACCTGACGCAGCCTCTGCCGAACAACGGCCTCTCGCTAGGGTTCCTCACCCACGCCTCCTCGTCGCCGCCGCCGCCGAATCGCGGCCACACCTCGAAGATCGCCGACGATTCAATCTCTTTCCAGATCGAGTCTCGATGTCGGGATCGCGACCCCTCGCCCCCAATTCCGCTTCAACTGATGGACAACCAGATGGAGAATCAACGTCGTGACCTCTGCGGCCGGAATAACTCGATCGAGGACAAGAATTGCAAGGAGGAATACGAGAGGTTCGAGGAGTTTCGGATCCTGGGTCACCCCATGACCCTGAAGCGCAAGCGCGATTCGGATTCGAGCTCGTCCTCGCCCTCGATTGGATTTAGGGTTCCTTGCGACGAGATGGAATCGAGTAGGAATTCGGTTCGGGCATGGGGGAACCAGAGCTTGAGAAATGCCGACCCGGCTATATTCGGGATAATGGAGAAGGAGAAGGAGAGGCAGTTCAAAGGGATTGAACTGATTGCCTCTGAAAATTATGTGTGCAAAGCGGTAATGGAGGCCCTGGGCAGCCACCTAACAAATAAATACTCTGAGGGGGTGCCTGGCGCCAGATACTATGGCGGGAATCAGTACATTGACGAGATCGAGACTCTGTGTCGGGATAGGGCCTTGGCTGCTTTCGGGCTGGACCCCGAAAGCTGGGGTGTAAATGTACAACCTTATTCGTGTACATCTGCTAATTTTGCGGTGTATACAGGGCTTTTGCTGCCAGGTGATCGGATTATGGGGCTGGACACGCCTTCTGGTGGGAACACGAGCCATGGGTGTTATTTGCCGAATGGTAGGAAAGTGTCGGGGGCGTCGATTTTTTTCGAGAGTTTGCCATATAAGGTGAACCCTCAGACTGGGCATGTGGACTATGACAAGCTCGAGGAGAAGGCATTGGATTTTCGGCCCAAGATATTGATATGTGGTGGGAGTTCATATCCTCGGGAGTGGGATTATGCGAGGTTTAGGCAGATAGCGGATAAGTGTGGTGCGGTGTTGTTGTGCGACATGGCTCAGATTAGCGGCCTTGTAGCTGCAAAGGTGAAAATTTTGATCCTTTGCTTCTGCTGTTATTTAACTTGTCAGCCTGGTTCTTAATGTGTCTGATTTTTCTGTTAACAATTGAACTTGCTTTGTATTAGTGCTGTCTGAACAGATACTATTAATGTTATTGTTTTTTAGCTTGCTATTCATATATGCATGTACTTTACTATTAGTGTATGGGTTGTCTTAAATTTTGTCATGTTGTCACATTATACTAATTGGATCATGCACATTTATGCATGTACGTTACTATTAGTTCATGAGTTCTCTCGAATTCTGTCATGTTATCACATTATGCTAATTGGATCGTGCTATATGTGGTGAATATCTGACTGTTATAAAGCATATGATTTGGTATGTAGGTTTGGATATATTGGCTTGAGATATTACAAGGCAGTTTAGTTTTGGTACTTTTCTTTAATTTTGCTCTGCCCTTTTGCATTTTTATGTTTTTGTTACTTAATGGTCAATTAGAAAACGTGGCATCAAATGATATAATAACTTGTATATATCAGAATGTACCTTCTATCTATAATCTATTTTGGTTCTCCTCTTTGAGAAAATTTATTAACACTGACAACCCTTTTCCAGGAGTGCGTCAGCCCTTTCGAATATTGTGACATAGTTACGTCCACAACCCATAAAAGTCTTCGGGGTCCGAGGGGAGGTATTATTTTCTACAGGAGGGGCCCAAAATTGAGGAGAAGGGGCGTGCTTTTAAATTCTGGCGACTGTGGTGATAGATACGATTTTGAGGAGAAGATTAACTTTGCGGTTTTCCCTGCCCTCCAAGGTGGGCCCCACAACAACCACATTGCTGCCCTTGCTATAGCACTGAAGGAAGTGGCTGCCCCTGAGTACAAGACATACATGCAGCAAGTGAAGAAAAATGCCCAGGCTCTGGCATCTGCTTTGCTGAGGAGGAACTGTAGGCTGATAACTGGGGGCACAGATAATCATATGCTGCTTTGGGATCTAAGAAATCTTGGATTAACAGGTATGCTTCTTTTCTTTTACATATTGCTCTTCTTTTTTCTTACATACATTTTACGTTGGGATTATATTGTTTATTGTGTCTGTGGGTGTGGATATGGCTTTTGTACGAAAAGGGATCACTTCACTTTGTTTTTACGTCTCACATATTTATGAATAACTGGCGTATGAATGTTCATAAGGTCTTGTCCTGCTACGCCTGATCTATAGCCTTTATTTGTCATAGATGTCATTTTGAAGAGTCTGCTCGTTGCTTGTTTTGATGCTCGTAACTGTTCATTGGCGTTATCCTTTGTGATTTAATTCCTGATAGTTTTTAATAATCCTTTCTTATTTTGGTGCTGTGTAGGTAAAAATTTCGAGAAGGTGTGTGAGATGTGTCACATCACTCTTAATAAAGTCACCACTTTTGACGACAATGGAAATATCACCCCAGGTGGCGTAAGGATTGGTATGTCACTTTAGTTGCACCTTGTGCATCTCTCTTTCCTTTTTATCCCCTTATATCTATATATACATTTTTACAGTATAATGTAATAGCTTTGTAACGTCTGGTCCCTCAGGTACACCTGCAATGACGTCAAGAGGCTGTGTCGAGGCTGATTTTGAAGTTATGGCTGACTTTCTACTTCGAGCCGCTCAAATCGCGAGCTCAGTGCAAAAGGAACATGGAAAGCTACCAAAATCTTTTCTCAAGGGGCTCGAAAATAACAAAGAAATAGTTGAGTTACGAGCACGAGTGGAAATTTTTGCTTCTCAATTTGTTTTGCCGGGTTTTGATGGGTAATCTATATCACCGATTGCTTCACTGGTCAAGTTTCATGCCTCAGCCCGACCTTTGCTGTCTATAATGACATAGCGTTTTTTTCGTTTATAATTTGTGTTGCTATATTTTCCTGCCAAACACCGATAGGATTGAGAATCAGGTTTATTATTATTATTAATTATTATGATGATTAGTGCTAGAACACTATACATAAGTTAAGATATTTTTTGGTGATTACATATGAAGATTGTGCTAAACTATACTTTTCTGAATGTTTCCTTATTGAAGGTTAGCTGCTTAGTTTTTATTTTCTCATTGTGAAGTCTCCTCGTTCTTGATACAAATCCAGAAGGTTTCCAAAATGCGTTCAAATAAAGGCAAGTAGGACGGGAACATACTGAAACAGAATTGAACTATAATCTATCGAAGCTACCGTAAGAAGTTTGTTCTGTAATGGTTAGACTAAATTATAAAAACACATAAGGTAAAGCACCATAAGAAGTTTGTTCATTACAGGTTAGACTAAATTATAAACAGAAGTAACACGTAAGAAGGTAAAGCCTCGACAGTCTGTTGTTTCTGGATTTTTGTTTGTTTCTTTGTTTGTTTGTAAGACTGTCTGATGGTTATGGCTTTTGTTTCAGTTGGTCTTCCATTAGACATTGCCTTTGTGGTTAGGTAGCCATAATTTTTCCACAAATGTACATGTTTTCACACTATGTGTCATTCTTTAAATGACAATATATACGAAAATATGACATTTCATAGTATAAATATATTATCAATATATTATCAATTGGATTTTATGTTTGTACATGAATTTTACAATAACTTACACAAATTATTACAAAATGAATCAAAATATCATAAAATTGACAAATTATTACAAAATGAATCAAAATATCATAAAATTGATAAAGAGGGGTGCTAAACAAATTTGCTTTTTTTTTTTTCAAAATTAAATTGATAAAATTAACCAAATTAATGATTAGTAATTAACCAAATTATTACAAAATGAATCAAAATATCTAATGAATTGTAATTAAGTTTTTTTTTTTTTCAATTTGGTCTATCTTTTCTTCAGTTCATTTCTAATTAAATTGATAAAATTAACCAAAGTAATGATTAATAATTAATGAAATGCAATTAAACATTTCACTCCCCCACACACGATATACATGAGATAATTTTTAATTTAAGAAAACGTTTAAAAAGAAACTATGACATTATTTTGAATTTAAGAAAACGTTTAAAAAGAAACTGCTAGTAGTTTGTAAAAACAAGATCATTTTTTTTATTGTAAAATTTGACGATTGTTTAGTGGGGAATTTAGCTATTATTTTAAATAAATTATTTATCTTTTTCAATATCAAGCAATTGTTTAGTAGGAATTTAATTACTCTTATAAATAAATTATTTATCTTTTTCAATATCAATAAGATTGAATTCTATCATAGAAAACCTTATATATATTGTTTTAAAAATATCCACTACTTACGAAGCAATGCACCAGATTTTGAAACATAACTGAAGTTTCTATAATAATAAACGATTTTGAAACATAATTGAAGCTAAACTCATTTTCACCCAAAACTTCATGTGTAGTTTCTACAATCATCCCAAAAACT